TCTCCTTAACAGGAAATAACAGGTAGAACCTGTTCTTCTCTCCTCTTCCTATTGAACTGCTCTTCAATCAGTGGCACCATCTGGAGTCCCTGGCCTTGGAAATTCACCTTGTCTTCTCTGCCACCTTCAAGGTCCCTAAACTCCTCTGATGTACCGAATGCCTGCCTTAGTGCTTTTCTTCAATCTCCTGCCCAGTGTTAGGCCACCCCAGCATCTGGGAGCTCTCCCATGTTTATTCAACAGTGTTGCATTGAAAACATTTCAGGGAACAAATAAGTCAGAAGGAGCACGTTTTTGCTACAACATAAAGGAAACAATGCAAAGACTCCCTGCCGAATGCTATACATAACCAGGGCAATTACAGTTGGCTATGCTTATGCAGCAATGACATGGAACACAAAGATACCAAGCTGCTTTGAATGCATTCACATACCCGTAATTAAAACAGAAAAGTGAAGGTTGAGAACAAAAGCTACAAAAAAGCAGGTGGGGAAACAGATATTGAGCACAACACATATTGTTAGTAGACTCTAGGTGTTTATTTATACAAATATGCTGATTTCCTCTGTGGACAGGTGGGCTATTGTATATAGCAGTAATTCACAGTGTGTCTTATTAGCTGCTCCATGTATTAACACCAGCTGGTCAGTGTGTAAGATGCAGTATAGTCTTCTCATGCTTCTTTACCATCTCAGGTTATGAACAAAGGCTTGCTTGCCTTAACCCATTTGCTGTATGAAAGATAACTTCAAAGAGAACCCTTATCACTATGCCTTTGTTTTTCAAGTTTTTAATCCCTGAAATAACACTGGATTCACATTATAACATCATTCCGCCCATACTTGCTTGTACCCCAATATGTTGGGTGTTCCTTGGAGCCTGGATGTGGGATTAAAAAGTAATTGGGTTCTGGTTTCATAAAGTACCCAGGTTACTTTCTGCTGAAAAAAATGACACAGGGGAAATTAGCAAAGTATGTATCTAAATGAATAGGTGCATCTGTGCAAGACAGGAAATTAAAACTTTGGAACAGGTATATGCCGTTTATTCATTTGTTCATTGTCTTATTCATACACTGCCTTCCTCTGAATTAAAGGGACTCAAGGCAGCTTACAAAATACTTAAAGACAAAAGTTATGGCAATTAAAATACAGAAAACACAGTAAGTTAGAATACAAAAAAGAAATAAATGTATCAAAACTATTTGAATTAATTAGTTTTAAACCCATTTTAAAGTACATTTTAAAAGCTGGGAGATACAACATCCCTCGAAAGAAAGAAAGAAAGAAAGAAAGAAAGAAAGAAAGAAAGAAAGAAAGAAAGAAAGAAAGAAAGAAAGAAAGAAAGAAAGAAAGAAAGAAAGAAAGAAAGAAAGAAAGAGAGAGAAAGAAAGAAAGAAAGAGAGAGAGAGAAAACAAGAGAGAGAGAGAGAGAGAGAGAGAGAGAGAGAGAGAGAGAAAGAAAGAAAGAAAGAAAGAAAGAAAGAAAGAAAGAAAGAAAGAAAGCAAGAAAGAGCCAACTATATACCAAAAGGCTACCTGAATTGAAAAGTCTTTGCCTGCCCACAGAAAGACAGCAAGGAGGAGACCACATGGCCTCCCTTGGGACAGGATTATGGGACTGTAAGAGACTCTCCCCCCAACATTTTAAAATCTAAAAAAAAATCTCATATTGGGAGATGAAGTTCTTCAGATAGTCAGGATTAAAGCCATATTGTTAACACAAGAACACGGAGAATCAGCAAAGTAACTTCTGGTCCAGGTGGTTCCTTCTATGTAATAAATGAGCACACTGATCATAGGGTGTATTTTTAACAACAGCACATGTGACATTCTGTGTTTTGCCTTTTAAAACATATAGATTGTTCTCTAACCTTGCTGATGCGCACATTCTGTTTCCTCTCTTAATTGTACAGGTACTGATTTCAAATAACACTACATAACCTTCTTTATCTAAACTAGACACACTAAGAATATTTCAATCTAGTCTTGGGACCAGTAAAACACCACTAAGTTCCCTTTAAAAACCTGATAAACACAGTCCCTTCTCCAGTGATGGCAGATTTTTCTCCATTAGCTAGGCTCACAAAGCTGTTCTCCGAGGCTCCTAGAAAAGAAAACAAATCTGCTTTGTTAGTTAGGTGACATACATCCCAACTATCAAGTATCCAGCTGGCTTCCTTAGCGACCTTGGTCTTATCAGCAGCCTGGACAAGAGAAATCCTCCCTTGTTTCTTTCTTTCACTTTTGCAGCCAGCTTCTTTGCAGTCTCTCTGCAAATGTTTCTCAAATTCACAGTTATAACAGTGTCTTACAGTCATCACCCTGCTGTTTTGCTCTCCCCTCCTGGAAGCAACATTCCTTTGCTATGAGTTGATTTCTCATCTCCGCTGCAGGCTGTCATCTCTCACTTTATTATCAAATCTTTCACTCCTCTGTTGCTCTTCTTCCAGTAGTCTGCCCATCAGGTACTCCAGGGTTAAATCATCTTCTGGCATGGACTCCAGATTAGTCACTAACACATCAAAGTCTTCCAAGAGGCTGCTTAAGATTACATAAACCTTGTGATTTTTGAAAATTCCATACCTTTTTGTTCAAGTTCAATAAATGCCGTATTTTTCCATGGATAAGACTATACTTTTGTCTAAAATCTTTAGACTAAAAATTGAGGTTTGTCTTATACACGGAAGTAAACTAAGGAGAGAACAAAAACAAGGGATCAGCACTTTGATCCCTTTCCCCCTACAGTTGCTAAGCCCCACTTAGATTTCTTAATTTTGGATTAGAAAAGTGGGCGGGGGGGTCTTCTACATGGGAGTGTTTTATACACGGAAAAATACAGTAGGTTTTTCATTTTCTGTAGATGCTCAGACATGCTCTCACCATGTTCTAGTCTGCATCTATACAGTTTTCTGGTCAGAGTTTTTCATTTTCTGTAGATGTTCAGATACAGTATGCTCCCACCATGTTCTAGTCTGGGTCTATACAGTTTTCTGGTCAGAGACACCTTTGTTCCTGCCGTGTCTCTCACATAAATCCTTTTCAAAGTGTCCCAACATTTTTTAGCCAAGGTCAGACCACGCACATGAATCAACTGGCTATCCTCCGGACATAGAATTATTGTGGTTAAGGCTCTTTCATTTAGCTGTTTTCGCTCCTCATCAAGTACCGGGGGGAATCGTCTACAATCTTCCACAAGTCCTCCCTTCTTAATAGCATCTTGGCTTTAACAGACCACGTCTGGTAATTATTTTCATTTAGCCTCGTTAAGGGAAAGCCTCCAATGGTTGCTGCCTAAAAAGAATGCATGCTGCTGCCTTTTTCCTCAATCCTTCATTTTCTTTCCCCTCCTGGGCTTTCAACGGCAGAACTCCCACCTTCCTGGACCTCCACTTCTTCCATAAGTGATTGTGACACCCACTGGTACTCACCAGCTTCCTTGGCACAAGGTGGTTGTCGCAGGGCCCATAACCCCTTTGTTAGCATAAGAACACAGAGAATCAGCAGAGTAACTTCTGGTCCAGGTGGTTAAATGAATCACGTACACACACAAGCAGCTTCTCCAGCACCAGATATGTATTTACAAGCTATATGCAGAAGTGCAGACCGGCAGCATGGCAGGATGACACTCATTAGGAAGAAGAATGCTTCTGTTGTACAGAGTCCACATATATACTTATTCACAACTATCTGTGTCCAATCATATTAGATATTGCATCATACATGAGTCAGCACTTTATGAATCATCATGACTCAGCACTACAGCACACCTGTTCAATATGGCTGCTCATTAAGACACTTTGTACTGCTCAGGCCTGTAAATTTTACCTTGCCACATATAGCAATTAAAATTGCCCCAGAAAGCGATTAGTAGCCAGTAAAGCTATCACAAAAGGAATTTGGGTGCGCTTTGTAATCAGCTCTGATCAGCTCTCTAGCTGCAACATCTTGGACCCACTGAAGTTTCTAAATACTTTCCAAAGCCAGCCTCACATACAGCAAGTTACAGTAATCCAAACGGGATGTAACTAAGACATGTGTCACAATCACCAGATCAGATATCTCAAAAAACAAGCATAGCTGGTGCACTAAGTTGTAATTAAGCAAAACCCTCCTGGACACTATCAGGGGACCTGGGCATTCAGGGTCAGGAATGAATCCAGGAGCATGTCCAAGCTGCCAACCTCAATTTTCAGGAAGATTGTGATCCAGTTCAGCACAGGATGGATCCCTACTTCCTGAGCTTTCATTTGACTAATGTAGAGCACCTCCTCTATGTTAAGTGTTCTATGTCTTGTCTAGATTAAACTTCAGTCAATTCATCATTACCCAACACATTACTGACAACAGGCATAACACATACTGTATGTGGTGGCTCTCACTAGTGTCCTGATCACATCCCCAGGCTGCAGAAATGGAAACTTATCTGTTATCACAGAGCACTTAGGGGGCAAAGGTGCATCCACAGAACCCTGTGTCTAGTACAGCATTCACGTTTGTAGTTGCCAAATACTACTTTGCCATGTTAGGGTAAAATATTACAAAAATATAAAAAGTTTCATTGCCTTTGCTGAATGTGCTAGATTGGACTTCTTATGTTTTTTTTCCTAACTCCTGGTTGAAAATAAATAAATTGACCAACAAAATAAAAATAATTAGAGGAAGCAGGACAAAGCAATGCATGAACAGAAGGACAGCTCTATGGAGTTTACTCCTAGGTAAAAGCAAAGAATTGCACAGCATGTGAACTTGCCTTTCATATAGCAGTAATGTTTAGAGTTAAGAGACAGTGTTTGCCGGATATAACTTGGGGCTATAAATCTGAACAGATGTTATCAGTTTCATTGGGATGATCTGCTTGAAATCCATAGCAGGATATGACAAAATAAATGGAGTGTTATTTTAGTCATCTGCTAAAGGGAAAAATCAATTTCTTGATTCCTTTCTTAGCTTTCAATACTTGAAGAAACATTAACAGCAAAACAAAAACAGAGCTCCTACCTCATCTTTGACAAATTGAATTTGACATGAAAGTTGTCCAGCATTTCGGATTTCTTTGAGGAGGATCTGGACAAACTGGTCATTTCACTTCCCGGATGAGACCTATGCTCAAATTCAGCAGAGCTGTTTTCCCAAGAGTCATCATCTGTGGTAAAATCAGTGTTATGAACGGCCATGAACCTACAAAACATCATTGACAAATATCAATGGTCATATTATGCTCCGTATTCCTAAGGTGATAACATTCAGCCTTTGGTCCTCCAACTGTTTTGGGGAATCCCTGACAGGCTGGTTGCCTGGGGTTTCTGGGAGCTGAAGTCCAAAACCGCCATAGGACTAGAGAATGAGAATCACTATCCTAACAGTATCCTCATTTGTAGGGGCACCAAGCAACAGCAGAAATCAAGTGTGCTCATCTTTTGAGAATAATAGAACAGTGGCATCATGAAAGAAAAACACAGACACGCACAGGTCCAGAGCATGATTGATGATGTTGTCTAATTGATAAACCCTCCTTAGTCTGGCAAGTGAATGAAGCTATAATAAGGCTTTCATGTTTCGCTGTTCCTTAGAACAAATTAGCACAGAGGAAGCCAGAGAATGAGGAGAATAATTGAACAGAATGTAAATACTTCTTTTCTTGTCTTTGACAGCATTCCTGCTTCAGGCTAGAAGTGAAAAGGATGAACGCGTTTTCACAAGACTGTTTAGCTTCTGTTGAAATGCCAAAAGGTTGCACTTCAGCTGGTTAAAGATCTCTCCTTTTTGGACAATAATTCACAGAAGCTCCGAGTCAGCACGACCACTGGTCATGGTGGAAAGGAGGATTCTGAAAGTTACCGTCTCAAAAAACCCTGAGCGAATGTAAACGCTAAAAAGCTTAATGGACTTCTGTAACCCCAAGAAGTATGCAGAGAACTGGGATGGAGTTTTTAACCAGAATTGTACATCCTCGGAATATGAAACATGGAAAAGCTTGTGGGTGAGTGGATGTCTGCATTTCAAATTTTATCATTATACCTCTGGGTAACAAGAGGCCCAGGGACTAGGCAGCCAGGGGAATTCTGGAGTCATTGTTCAAAATTATCACATATTATTGTATGTGTTCTAATTGATTGTAATATTCGTATGTTTTATGACAAATACTTTTATTGGAAGCCGCCCAGAGTGGTCGATCAGACCAGATGGGCGGGATACAAATCAAATCAAATCAAATCAAATCAAATCAAATCAAATCAAATCAAATCAATCAATCAATCAATCAATCAATCAGTCAATCCATCCATCCATCCATCCATCCATCCATCCATCCATCCATCCATCCATCCATGCATGCATGTGAACATCTCAAAATCCCTGAGCCAGTACGGCCATTGGCCATCCTCACAAGAGGATTTTGGAAGTAGGTTCAAAAATTCCAAGCTCTGGATGGCCTCAGCAGATGATCAGTTCTTCACATCACACGTGCATATTAGTTTTGATGCACAGACTATCACAATGAACTGCTGCATAGCTCAGTGGTGTAGGCATATCACTGCACAGCCAAAGGTTGGTGTTTGATTCCTCGCTGTGCTTCCTTGACAAGGCCTGGACTCAGTGATCCGTAGGATCCATGCCAGAGCTGCAGTTCTAAGATTATATGCAGTTCTATATGGCTTGGAATTTACAACTTACAACATAACCCATACAGGATTCAGATGCAAAACTGGGGAATAGTGTTCTTTTTACAAAGGAAAGTATTCTTCTGCCCCAGGCCCATTTTGTCATGGGGGAGTGCCAGAACTGATCTCTTTGTTGCCTCATAGGATACCATGTACAACATAAAAGAAAGCCTCTCCACCCTCCCATGGAGCAGAGGGGAGGGCGGGAGAGCAGAAATTAATGATCTTTCAGGCCCATTTTGGGTAGTGCCAGAACTGATCTCTTTGTTGCCTCATAGGATACCATGTACAACATAAAAGAAAGCCTCTCCACCCTCCCATGGAGCAGAGGGGAGGGCGGGAGAGCAGAAATTAATGATCTTCCATAAACATTTGCTTTACTGATCCTCCATAAATATATGCTATCTTTAGGCTACATTAAAGTGTGAAGGCAAGGTCCCTTAGAAATCAATAGTGTTTCAGCCAGCCTTAGCTATTAATGCCATGTTATAAGTCTTAGCTTCAAAGAGACGAGCAAGTAAGTAAGCAATTTACCCATTCGCTTCCATGGAAGCATTCAACAAAGGGGTCCTCTCTGTGAAGCAGCCATTTTTTGGTCTTGCGCTGAAGAATTTAGGGAAAGTGAAGTGATACCTTTTTTGAAAAAAAGAAAGAAATAGTTAATTTCTACTGCAGTCATGTCTCCACAGCTGTCTGGTAGTTGTTTGTTTGTTTGTTTTTAAATGAGATATATTAAATAATTAGATGTTAGATTAAGCAAATGAATTCACCTAAGGGTATTATGTCACATCTGGCAAGCAAAATTTTGTTGGAGTTTTATTTATAAACTCACATGTCACCTGATCAAGAGGGACATTTCTGGGCTTTTGAATTTCAAAAGAAAGCCCCGCCTCTCTGCAGAGTGTTTTAATCCAAGAAGAAGTGGTAAAACCCTTGCTCTGATATATGTACCCTGTTTCCCTGAAAATAAGACCTAACCTGAAAATAAGCGCTCGTATGATTTTTTTCAGGATGCTCATAATATAAGCCCTACCCCCAAAAATAAGTCCCAGTTGAGTGAAACCCTGCCCTCCACCCTTGTGCAGCAACCAGAAGAAGATGACATGACTGTATTTGAATAAACGTAGATGGTTGTACATGAAAAAAATAAAACATCCCCTGAAAATAAGCCCTAATGCGTTTTTTGGAGCAAAAATTCATATAAGACCCGGTTGGGGAAACGCGGTAGATTGTTTTGTATCAAAGGTGTTTCTTGGTTGAGTCCCAAGCTGCCTCCAACTTTCCTTGAACAAAATGGATGGTACAGGGGTGTCCTTCATGATTCCCCATCCCCATGGAAAAAATGCATCCAACCCATGGTCACAGAGATTTTGGAACCAACTGGGAAAACAGAAATACCTATATAGACAACATCATACATAAAACCTGGATATTTGGAACTTGGCTCAGGAGTGGGCAGAATTCCGACCTGCAGAATTTATTTTAATTCTAGCTAGAATGCCAATGGCCACCAGCCTGAACCAGTCGCAAAACAATGGCACAGAAGGAGCAATTGCTGGAGAAGGCACAAAGTCCTTTTCATCAGAAGAGCAAGACAGGATTTTGGTTTTGCTGATAAAACTGAGTCCACAGTTCTTCCACACACAAAAAGACATGCCCTATTTTCTCTTGAAGTGATCTTTTTTTCAACAGCCTGATTTAGGAAATTGAGACTTCTGGAGGTTAATTAGTAAAGCAGCTACCATGGTCTCTAGACTCACAAAGAGAGTATGGCTCAGTAAGAAGCTGACGGCATATACCAAGATCCAGGTCTATAGAGACTGTGTCCTGAGCACACTCATGTACCGCAGTGAGTCCTGGACCCTTTGTGCGTGGAAGGAGAGGAAGTTGAACATGTCCCATATGCATTATCTCCAACACATTTTTGGTATCACCTGGCTGGACAACGTTCCAAATAGAGTAGTCCTAGATTGAGCTGGAATTTTAGCATGTATACATTACTGAAACAGCAACGTCTATGTTGGCTTGGGCATGTCGTGAGAATGGCTGATGGTCGGATTCAAAAAGATCTCCTGTGTGGAGAATTAGTGCAGGGAAAACGCCCCAGAGGGAGACCACAGCTGTGATACAAGGATATCTCCAAGTGGTATCTGAAGGCCTTAGGAATGGACCTCCACAAATGGGAAACCTTGAAATGTGAGCGTTCAGCCTGGAGGCAGGCGGTGCAGCATGGCCTGTCCAGTTTTAAAGAGACATTTGTTCAGCAGGCAAAGAGGCAGTCCCAAAACCAGCAAAATCAGGGAGCTGGACAGGGGACAGACTGTATTTGTCTTCAGTGTGGAAGGGATTGTCACTCTCGAATTGGCCATCTCAGCCACACTAGATGCTGTTCCAAGACCTCTATTCAGAGCACGTTATCATAGTCTCTCGAGACTGAAGGAGGCCTACTTTAGCTATGTAAAGGCACCTGTTTGTCCCCACTGGAAAGGAAACATGGCCAATTTTAAGCAAATAGCAAGGCTTACAGGTATCAGAGACCTCACTGCCTCCTGATAATAACATATATTCTGTTCCCTTTCCATACAAGAGGCAATGGGCTCCCATGTATTGATTGAGAGCAAAAGAGGGAAAGTTCCACTATCTTGGTATCTTGCTTGTGGATTTGTCACAGACAGCTGATTGGCCAATGTACATACAGAATGTTGGGCCAACAGTCTTTGTGGTTTAATCCAACATTGCTTTTCTTAGGTTCTTAAACTTCCTGTTGAATGGCTTGGTTGTTTTATTTTCTCCCAGTTCTACAAAGTGTGCACTGAAGGTACTTTAAAGCTGTGATTTCCAACCGTCGGTCCCCAGATGTTCTTGGACTAAAACTCCCAGAAATCAATGCCAACACAGCTAGTGGTGAAGGCTTCTGGGAGTTTTAGCCCAAGAACATCTGGGGACGCAAGGCTGGGAACCACAGCGCTAAAAATAGCATTTGAATGGAATTTAAAGTGCTTGTGTTACAGTCTTGAAGATACAAAAACACCCAAGTCTATGCCTCATAAATTATCCTAGCATTCTTTACATGTAGTTTCCAGAACTGAGCAACTCAATGAGCATGAAACACCCAAAATAGAACCCAGCACAGTGTCATGCTTCAGTTTTATAATATTCCCTTTTAAAATGCTAATTCAACAAACTGATTCAAGGATTTTTGACAGAACATTAATCATATTCCCAACCTTTGTTCCCTGGAAGATAGATCCAGAGACCTTTCACTGAATGTAGATTCACTTCAGCTATTGTTTAGAGTACGGGCAAGAAAACAACATTCAGCTGGGCAGAAAACATAGCCTTATATAAAATACATTGACAGTGTGCACAGTGTTCTGTCATATCCAAGAGGAGTTAAACTCTAGCTGCTCCACCTAAGCTCCACAACCGTTTTCCTCTTTTAGGAACAAATCTGTGTATGCTGCAAGTCTTCTCCTAAAGCAAGCTGGCCACCCTGTTATATAGTGAAGGGTGTGGTCTCATTGCCAAAATTGAAGTAATGCTCAGCTGCCAGTCCAGTCAGCTTCTGTACATGCAATCAAGCCTGAGGTGCTACCTAGTCTTGCTTTGCCCTCAGGCAGTAAAAATATCTTTGTCCCACCATGTCACACACCTGGCAGGCAACCATGATTGGTAGAATGTTTGGTGGATCACAAACTGTGCAAACCTGACAGAGATTATCACTCCAGATTTATGAAGGACATCATACTCAGTGAGCATACATTGTGTGCTACAGTGCCTACGAAAGTTGCTACCAGCTGTTGCAAGCGTGGGGTTAATTCATCCCAAAATTTATTTAAAAGGAGAGTGGGAAGCTGAATTAGATATGCACACTCGCTGAAATATGGTAGAAAGTTGCAACTGGAGTAGCCTCTTAAATTAGTAGACCTTACAAAGGAGGTGGCCCACCAACCCTACTGATTCAGTGGGCCTACTCTAGTTGCGATTTACTACTGGATTTTAGCCAATATCTTTAATAAACTAGTGCTTCTTTCAGAAGATGTTCAAGATTTTGATCTAAGTCACAGGCCATTGCTTTAATGTCATAGCTCCAGTTTTTTGTGACACAAATCTAATCAATGTCTCTGGAAAATGCTGAAGACTGAGTGGAAAAAGGCAGAAAGAAAGGAGACTAAGCAGCAAATTGGTTCAATACGATCTCTGTCCTCAGAGTTCGGATTTTATTTAAAGAATGAGTAAGTTACCAAAGTATGCACTAAGTGTAAGGGGGGGCAGATGAAAATTGTGTGTAGTTTAAAATCTGCTGCCATATTCTCTTTCCAGTTACCATATGACCTCTCTGCATATGCGAGTGGGGATTCGAACCCTGTTCTCCACAGTCCTAGTACATCACTCTATCCACAAGAAAAAATCTACCTCCTTACTAAAGATAAGGGAGTAGCAGAAGTGGTCATCATTGTTCTTTGAAACCGAAAAATTTTTTGTTAAATTTCAAGGGAGGCACAGTCACTGGAGAAATCAAAGAAAGAGTCTCCCACAGGGTCGCATCCTGACACCATTACTTTTTAACATTTACACAAATGATCAACCAACATTCTCATAAAGAAAAAATCTATCTCCTTACTAAAGATAAGGGAGTAGCAGAAGTGGTCATCATTGTTCTTTGAAACCGAAAAATTTTTTGTTAAATTTCAAGGGAGGCACAGTCACTGGAGAAATCAAAGAAAGAGTCTCCCACAGGGTCGCATCCTGACACCATTACTTTTTAACATTTACACAAATGATCAACCAACATTCTCATACTGCAGGAGTTTCATCTATGCTGATGATCTTGCCCTGACAGTCCAGGGGGAAACCTTTGAAGCCACTGACCACCAGCTAACCTCTGCATTAGAAGATCTTTCCTTATAATATAGAAACAACCAGCTGAAACTCTTTAAAAGCAAGGGGCTGTGCCTTCCACTTGAACAACAAAGAAGCAAAGAGGAAGCTGTGAGTTAGCTGGGAAGGCAAGATTGCCCTAACCCAGAGTATTTGGGTGTCACTCTGGAAAAATCCTTAGCCTACAAAATACATTGTCTAAACACCAAACAGAAAGTTACCAACAAAATTACATAATTGGGGAACTGGCTGGATCAGACAGGAGTGCACACTCACAAACAGTAAGAACAACAGAAATTACATAATTAGGGAACTGGCCGGATCAGACAGGGGTGCACACTCACAAACAGTAAGAACAACAGCTTTGTCCCTGTGCTACTCCACAGCAGAATAAGCTAATGCTACATGGTATAAATCAGCACATGTCAAACAAGTGGATGTAGCTCTTAATGAATTATGCAGGATTATTACTGGCTACCCCCAGCAAATAATGAATGAAATAAGATAATACAGCACCAAACCCATCTACTTCATGGACACCCACTCCTTAAATGGCGGCTAAAATCAAGCAAATGTTTTCTGCACACATCACAAGCTCCAAATATTCATCCGTAAGAGGCTAGGTTAAACTTCATCATCATCATAAGCATCCTTCAGTCTCAAGAGACTATGGTAATGTGTTCTGTATCATGCTCTGTAACGTCCTCTCCAGAGCATGAAGCCTGGGTATGGAGGATAGGCTGTTACCCAAG